CCCCCCACACACACACACATACATACAAACACACACAAAAACTCACTTAAAAGCATACATAAACACATACACACGCACGCACGCACGCACAAACAAACAAACAAACAAACAAACACGCACACACATACACACATCATGTTGAATTTGTTACTCCCGAGAAGCCATTTGATTGCTGTTTGATTAAAGTGCCTCAGAAATACCAGTGCTTCCGCCTCCAGTGACTTACTTGCTTCACCCCAAAGAGGTTATATTTTTAGTTTTAGAGTTCTTGGCAGTGATGTCCTCCACGTAAATGAACGGGTAGTGCGTTTACCCACTCTGTGACGCTGAACCTAATAGGGCAAGACATGCGCAGTTCAACAGACGGGTGAGGCCGAGTACTTTTCGAGACTCACGTGGAGGCGTCTCAGAGGTCTTAGGAGGAAATGAACAAGCTTGCACTGAAATGTGGGGGCAGGGTGGTGTTTAATATACATGTACCAGAACTCGTGGGGAGCGGGGTGGGGGACTCAGATTGTTAATGTAAAAGGTGGCACGCGGGCCAAGCCCAGGAGGGTAGGAGCCCCCCCCCCCATGTCTGACAGGTGTGACGTCACTGCTGAAAGCTCTAGTATTATATACAACCTCTTTGCTTCGTCCTCACCATCTTCCCCGCCTGGTCGTCACAGATTTGTATTATAATATCCTAGACCGCGCTCTGACGTACTACCGGTCCGCCATTGAGCGCACCTCTGGATTCTATTTGGAACCGAATGATGGCCAAGCAGGAAAAGATTGTGCGCATACCAAGAACCTTGCTTTATAACTTCCTTGGCACGCATTCGACCTTTTGCGACATCAGAATTACAAAGTTTTATCTGACAGTTTTGGCGTTTTGGGTTACTAAGACCATGAGATTAGAAACCAAATGCTCTATCTGCTCTATCAAAATCGTTAGATTATTCGGAGTTTTTATCAAGATACTCAAAGAATGAATTGCATTCGAAAATGCTTGACATGTTGTAAAACTCAAGATTTTTTACGTCAAATTTCTCAAAATTAGGTAGGCCTACTGAGCAGATAAAACTTGGTAATTTCTGATGTTACGCATTGCAACATTGGTGTTTGGTCCGTCATCTGCCCCCCCCCCCCCA